TTAAGGGGTCGCTGGCCTGGTCTCGCCCCACTCCTCAGGGAGGCTATGGTGCTCCAGTGTTCTGAAGGCGCCGGACAGGCGAGGCAGGAAGCAAGGACTTGAGCTGCCACGCTCGGGGCGTGACCTGGGGCTCCCTGTCTCTGAGTTACTGAGAGCAGCAGTGTTTGTGTCAAGCCCTCTTCCTCTCAGTCCTGCTCAGATGAGGTGCCCAACATTCGTCTTCAGACCATGGTGTGCAGCCTAGTGTGAGGTGTAAAGAGGCCTGGCTGTGAGTCAGAAATGGTGCTCACGACAGAGAAGGACGTGCACTCTGTACCTGAATCAGGGGGGTCCCTGGCTAAGAGTCTGGCCTCTCAGGCTAGAGGCGTGTGGAGTGTACTACAGCCCTAACCCTCAAAGTACAGCTGGGGACCTCACCTTGCAGGGAAGTCTGCGAGGTCAAAGCTATCCCCACAGTCACACTAACAATTGTACCATGGACTTGTCAAAAAACCACGTGGCACGTGATATCACAAAGGAGCCCTGGTGGCATGGCACTGGGGGTTCCGAGTTAGGTTGGCAGCTAGCCTTAAGATCAGCAGTTCAAAGCCGCCAGCTGTTCTGCTGCATGGAGCACTGTGAGCCTTTCTGTCGCGGAGCAGCCTCTGTTCATGACAATTTCTGCCCTGGCTTTTTAAATATTGACCGTGGTCTTTTCTTTCTTACTCGCTGATACCTGATGCAATGGTTTAACTGGGATGTGGAGGGCGTGGGGTGTGGGAAGGGTGAGGGAATTTGGGGAACAAACAATGAATGTAGAGTTGGAGAGAACACCAGCACTGATTGTGAGAATGTAATGTAGATACAACCCATTTTAAAAGCGATTTACCCATGGAAGTGTGTATGTGAATACTAGATCAAGAAAACCCTAAAAAAAAAAGAAAGAAAGAAACCAAACTCGACCAATGGTTACCATGCGTGAAGGGGAAAGAGTGGTTGCTCAGGGGGCATTGAGTTTATGTCAGTGCTGGTGGAATAATTTGGAAAAGGCTATCAATAATGGTTGTATAACATGAAGAGTATAATCAATGGCACTGAATTATATATATAAAAGTTGTGGAATTCGAGAATGCTTTGCCCCCTTTATTTCTGCCACAATTAGAGAAAAAAAATTACATGAATAACAATGGGTACAAGGAAGAAGAAAATGTTCTAGAATTGAATATGGCGACACCTGTACAACTCTTAAAAAAAAGAGACTGACAGCCTCTACAGAGTAGAAGCCCACAGGGGTGGCTCTACTCACTGTCCTGTCGGGTCGCTGTGAGTCAGAACTGACTCCTAGCAATGACTTTGGTGTGGGCTTTATGATTTCACAGTAGACTGAATGCAGACGGTGGGCACACAGATGTCATTCCATCAAGTTAGAGCATGAACATTGAAGAAAGATAGTCTAAACTTCATGTACAAAATACTGACTTTTCAATTAAAAATGTTACTTATGTTAGTATGTAACTTATAATTTCTAATATAGTAGTAGCAATAGATATAACGCACACAAATCTGTCTTAGGGAGCCCTCAATCATTTTTCAGACTGGACAGGGATCCTGAGCCTAACCTCTAGAGAACTGCTGTATTATCCAGGAAAAACCTGATCACCACACTGAGGGATAGGTTTTATTCTGCAGCTTGATGTAGGGCTTTCCCCCTGATTACCATACAACCTCCTAAAGGAAAGGCATTCAATCCGTCAACAATTCGACAGTTCTGAGAACTAGCTGAAGAAAAGGTGTTAAATACTAGGGCGTAATTTCTACTTAGTAGGAAGTCAGGAGAAAGATGGGTCTTTCCACTCCTGTAGAGAGTCAGTCTGAGAAACCCCCAGGGGCAGTTCTACCCTGTCCGTAGGGTCACTCTGGTCCAATCGCCTCAGTGGCACTGAGTGTGGACTGTGTGGTGTGTGTGCGCGTCAGCGAGGAGTTCAGGAGAATGCCAAGTGCAGGCTGGAGCTGAGGGTACAGGAGCCAGAGTCAGTGCCAGGCTCCTATTCCCCCCGCGGCCCAGAACCTTGCCTACTCCCCTCTCCCCCATGCCACCCACTCCAGGCTGTTGGTGGTCTTGCTGTGCATCTGCACTGCTCAGGAAGGGCCTGGCTGGCCTACGACCAGGCTAAGGGCTGAGCTGGCTGGCTGCCAGTGTCCCTATTTAAAGGGAAAATGGGACTAAGACCTAAAAAGAACAGTTGGAACATGAAGGAGCTTTGGGGTATAGCCAAGTACTTGTCTTTGGCGGGGTTTAGCTATTATCAGATGTTTTCCTCAGAAGGAAGGCCAGGAAGCCAGTTTCGGTCTCTTGTAATGTCGAGAGCTGACAGTGTCTGTGAACGATTAGGTGGCCATTTCTGGCGCCGCCTGACCAGTCCTTGCTCCTGCAGCCTCTGAGCTGTGATGATAAGAGCAGCCTGCAGACACCTGCACGCCCCCACCCTCACCCCACCCACCAGCCCCAACTTCCCCTTAGCGTTCAGAAAACCCTGACAACCAGATCCTCCCTCCTCACTCACCGTGGGGCCGCCCCCGTGCATCTTGAGAGCCCTGACAGTGGCCACAAGCACAACCACGTGTGGGCGGAGACCAGAATACCGACATTTGATGTTAAAGAACTTTTCCATCCCAATGTCGGCTCCGAACCCGGCTTCAGTCACTGTAAGGAAGGAGAAGGGCAATGTTAACAAGCCCACCTGGGCCGGTTCCCCTCACGTCACTGGACTTGAGAAAGAGAGACGTTCATTTCTGTGAACCCATCTTGCAAAGTTGCTCACCTACAAATCCGTCAGGGCCCACAAGTTTGAGGGCAATCCGGTCCGCTATGATTGAGGAGTTCCCATGTGCAATGTTGGCAAACGGTCCAGCATGAACAAACACTGGTGTGCCCTGTGGGAATCGAGATGTCACGGGGGAGTCCCCACCCAAGATAGGATCACGGAGGGTGCTGTCGAGCAGTGAGACAGACACAACCTGTGCCCCTCAGTGCATCTGCAAATGCTGTGATACAGTTATCATCGTGAAAAGAAGGAAGGCTCACACAGTCAAGGGTTGGAATTCAAAATGAAAAGACTTCCCGCAGGGAATTGACATTTGAATCACGTCCCTGTCAGAAGTATGAGAAAGGATGGGAAGGCAGAGATGGGCAGGTAGAGAGTTTTAATTCCCCAAGGAAAATGGGCTCTGTCACATCCCGCTCACCTCCAGCGTCTGCATGAGGTTGGGCTTGATGGCATCCTTCATGAGTACCGTCAGTGCTCCACTCACCCCCTACGAAACACAGACCAGGTGTCCTTTCCTGCCAGCAACACCCTCAGAAGGCAACATCTGGCCGCCACCAGTCTTCCCTTCTTAGCCATGTTGGACCAATTACTTTCACCTGGACTACATCATCCATTCACTGTTACTGGATCTGCTATGGAGTTACCAGTTACTTTAAGCAGGAGGGCTGATACAGTGAAAGTGACATGCACATGCAATTCTTAGAAACACTCGTAACCCTGGAAACAAGCATCTCAATAAAGCTCTGTTGCTGACTATGTGGGGGGCCCACTTTAGAATAGTGTAGAACAGGGCAACGCTGTTTCCTAGAGTACTGAGCTGTTTGAGCCTTTGGTATCCAGCGGAGTGACTGTAAACCAGATTTAATATGTGCTTCTCAAAGTTGAAGTGGAAATTTTACCCAGCAGTTCAAGACGATCCCAGGTTGCCCTTTAAAGCTACCCAACCCTCATGAACAACCTGGTAGCAAAGTAAGATAAGGCAATGGCTCCCACTTTGAGTCAATTCCAATGAATTTATACATTTCTGGTTTGGATGTTTACAATTAAGATTTTTTTTTTTTTTTTTTTGGCCTAAGCAGGGGAAACAAAAAATAAACCCTTCCCCGCCTCAAATTTATCTAAGATACCAAGAATCACAGGCCAACATTTTGGTTTGTGTTAATACAAACAGAGCCTTAAAAATTTATCCAAGGGAACTCTCATTTCAAACTGGGCGGTTGAGAAATAACCCTTACATGGAGAGCCGGCCTAGCAGACAGAGCTCGGGGATTTCAGGCTGTTTAGGGATTAGTTTCACATGTTGCTCTTGCAGTTGCCAGGAGAGATGTGTTGGCAGATGGCCTCACGAGAGACTTCCATGCAGGAAGCCATGCGTCCTGAGGCGTGGCCAGGGTGTGACCGCAAGGTCAACTACCAAGGTTCTCACTTGGACTCCTAAGGTCCTCTGAAAACTGAAGCCATACACTCTAGCTCGAAGACACTCGCAGGTGGAAGAGGTTGCTCAAACTCTGAAATGCGCAGATCGTTACTAGGGTATCTCACCTATCTATTCTGAGGAAGTGCATTTCATTACACAGCAAAACTCTGATTAGTTTACAGTAACTTCTTCAGCACAGCCTCTGAGAGACCCTGATCTGCCACCACTCACCAGGTCTTCGGCACTGACGGGCTCCCCTTTCTTGCTGGAAGCCACCACCATTTTGCCCAGTCTCTCTCTCATGTCTTCCAGAGAACTGGTGAGGGCTAGGACAGCCATGATTTCACTGGCCACAGATATGTCAAACTGGGCCTGTGGGTCAGGAAAAGACAGAACGCACCTGCTCATTTATCCACATGGTCAGGATGCAAAGACCAGGTCGCTCATTCAAAAAGTTGGCCTAATGTGCAAACGGAGGATGACCACATCTGGTCACATGACTGGGGGCGATAATACATCATCACAGAACGACCAGACCACTGAGAACCAGGGCTCAGTGAAGTCGACACCTGACTTTAACCATCAACCTCTGACACTGCCAGATGTGCATTGCTACGAGCAAAACAGCCGGGCAGGAGATTTGTTACCACCGTCTAAAATGTGAAATGAGATAATGAGGTGGTCCACACGTGAGGGGTAGGTACAGAGAAAAGGCGGTTAAGCCACAATGATGACCAGCACAGGGAGTCCTTTCAGACGGTCTCGGCAACTCCTCGTGGGTCTGACCTGGTCCTTCAATGACACAAGGGTCAGCGTCGACATGACGGCACTGAGCTTGCTTTCAAGTGAGAGGTTTCAATGGTTTAAAAGGACGGAATAACAGAATAAAGAGAACTTAATGAAAATCATCCTTTATGGACACTGGTACAGATAGGAACTGGAAACACAGGGAATCCAGGGCGGATGATTCCTTCAGGACCAGCGGTGAGTGGCGATACTGGGAGGGTAGAGGGAGGGTGGGCTGGAAAGGGGGAACCGATTACAAGGATCTACATGTGACCTCCTCCCTGGGGGACAGACAACAGAAAAGTGGGTGAAGGGAGACGTCGAACAGGGCAAGATATGACAAAATAATAATTTATAAATTATCAAGGGCTCATGAGGAAAGGGGGAACAGGGAGGGAGGGGGAAAAAATGAGGACCTGATGCCAGGGGCTTAAGTGGAGAGCAAATGTTTTGAGAATGATGAGGGCAATGAATGTACAAATGTGCTTTACACAATTGATGTATGTATGGATTGTGATAAGAGTTGTATGAGCCCCTAATAAAATTTTAAAAAAAAAAAAGCAAATGTTTTGAGAATGATGATGGCAAATGTACAAACGTCTTGACACAATGGTTGTAAGGATTGTGACGAGTTGTACGAAACCCCAATAAAATGATTTTTTTTAAAAAAAGAAAGAAAATCATTCTTCAGGAGCAAAAACTTTGGAGTCCCTGGAGGAGCGCAACAGTTAATGTGCTGTCAATACCTGCAAGGTCAGCAGTTCAAGTCCACCCAAATAACTGTTAGAAATCCTAGTGACCTACTTCTGAAAAACCAGTCATGAAAAGCCTTGTGAAGCAGGGTTTACTCCAGCACACAGAGGGCTGGGTCCCCGAGTCCCAGTGAACATGCCAGTGACTGATGGCAAACATTTTAAAGTACCTCAAGACCCCGAGTAGCTAATTTCCACGAAGCAAACAGGAGGACCAAAAAGCTACTAGGTATCCACCCCTGTGAAGGCAGCGTGTCTTCAGGTGGCTGTGGTTTCTCTCTGTACAAGGAAAGAAGGGGGACGCTCCTACAGCAAAGAGGCACACTGCAAAACGGCCATCAAAAACGAAGGCACGTGCCAGGACGTGCCAGGATATTCACCTCCAGGAAAACACTGGGAGAAAAACAACAGGTAACATGGATGCACTGCAAAGGCTGTCAAGAGCGTCAATACTGCATACCTACTCACTGCCATTTTAAGAGGGAGGAGGCAGAACAACACCTGGCAGGATCAGCTGGTAGAAGCAGTAAGGATCTGGCTCTCATGAAAGATATTACTTAGGAAGAAACAACTCGTTACCGTCCGTGTGTACCCCTTCTCTGTAGGAGCCTGTCCGATGGTGATCTTCCTCAGGAATCGATCGTTGGTATCCAACACTACCAAAGAAACAACATTTTTTAATAGAGGGACAATAGCTGTAGGCCTGGTGGTGTAGCGGTTTTGCGTTGGGCTGCAATCCATGTGGTTGGCAGTTCAAAACCATCAATGGCTCCTTTGGAAAATTGGGCTTCCTACTTCTATAAACAGGGTCTCAGGAACCCACAGGGAAACTGATGGCAGTGAGTTTTGCTTTTCGGTTTTTTAGTGTTAAAGGAACCAGCAGTTTTAAAGCAATAAAGCTAATTTAATAATTGTCTTAGTACACCTACTCCGCACTGCTATCTGGCACTTACAATAATAAAAACTCTACTATCTGGACTATTTTGAGCATTAACAACATGAGTCTGGGAAGTGACAGTGGGGTTTGAGGTGAGAGCGACTGGCGAGGGTGGTTATGATTATGTTTCAACTTGGCAGTGGTTTGGGGGTGATGATGTAGTGATGCACTCTGGCAGTTGTATACTGATGCAGCCATTGTCCGTTTCGTGCCTGATTCAGTCATCCTCCATTTTCACATTAACAGTGATTTTCCTAGAGCAGCTTGGTCTTTGGAACCTAATCAGGTTGATAAGTGAGGAGTGGGCATATCTGATTTCAAGAATGATAGGAAACCTAGAATATGCGGTAAAGTTCAGAAACCATGCTCACATACCATTAGCATACAGGAATTATGTTGAAAGCAAAGCATTATGGTTTTATTCTGTTTGGAGAATTCAAACAACTACCGTAGCGAGAAACCTGGAATCTACTTTAAGGCATATTCCATATTGAAAGGAAAAACTGAGTGGGTTACTTCTTTTTTTGGTCAAAAAGCCAAGTCTTCTGTTGTTTTGGGGGATGACTCACTGATCTTACACCATCCTTGCAAACACAAGAGCCATCAACTCGGGCAAGAACAAAATTCTGTGACACAAACCTGGTTACAGATCTGGTGTCTCCTTGAACACACTTAGAAGAAATAACTTTCATTCTGATAACCAGGAGCAGACTATCCAGTAAGCAAGGTAAGCACAGGCTTACTTGTGCTTATTAATCTATAGTGAACAGTTTCGTGTGCTTCAAACTTCACTATAGATTAGTAAATACAAGCAAGTAAACTCACACAAACATGTGAAACTGTTCACCACAGATTTACAAGTAGGCATACTTAAGCCTGTGCTTATCCTGCTTAATGGATAATCCAACGTTGTCAACAGCAGAATATATGTCCGACCATACAACCCTGGAAAGACCAACCAACGAACCTTACCCCGCCTCCTGAGATTGTCACTTTCAAAAAACTCATTGTCAATAGAGTTAATTCTGCTACAAAGTGACCCTATAGGCCAGAGTAGAACTACTCCTGCGGGTTTCTGAGACTGTCAATCTGTATGGGAATAGAACGTCTCATTTTTCCCCTGTGGAGCAGCTGGTGGTTTTGAACTGCTGACCTTGCAGTTGGCAGGCCAACTCATATGCCCACCCACTATCCCACCGGGCTCCTCTTCCTGAGGCAACAACTACTGTTAACATTTGACTGCTGTATTCCCAATTCTGCATAGCATGCCAACCATTAACAACCAAAAGCAAAACAAACACACAGAAATAAACAACAAACCAGTTCAATCTACAATTGGGTCAAAGAGGAGGCAAGTTTAAGGTACTTGGTAACAAGACAAATTATCTTCCACAAAGTTTGTAATTAATTAAACATCAAAAGCACTGTATTGTACATCACTGGCTATCATTAAACACACACTCATTATGTGAAAAATGTAATGTCTTAAGAGCTACTCTTTTTAAAAAAATTATTAAATAGTCACATTCCTTGCATCTAGTTTCTCTGTATAAAATAACCAGTCTTATTTTTCTTTCCCTTTGTCTGCTCTTTCTTACAAAGCATGTATTAGACAGAAAGCAAAAGAAAAATGAATGACATGGTAGTTTCATAATGGACCTTAACTTTGATAAAATTTGAAAACATTTGGCAAATGCCTTTGAAGTTGAGAAGAAAAGCACCAATATGATTTTAGTTAGTAAGAGGGCCATCTTAAAATGCCATTAGCTGCTAGCAGTTACTCAGCCAACGACAGTCACAAAAACTGCCAGTAAATTAGCCCTCGCTACCTTCTGCCCAACTGGTTGATAAGAGATGGAAGCACTGCTGGTAAGAAATAAAATTGGAAGTCATGTTTCACTGGACGTACAGCAAAGGACCATATGGCAGTGAGGTCAGGCGCCTCACCCAGCAAGTGCAGCGTGTTTAACCTTGCCGGGACCTAACCTGTGACAAGAGGGCGTAATCACAAGGCAAGTTGGATCACTCATGGCAGACCAGAGTCCTGAGAATAAAGGAAATCCATGATTCGAGAAGTTGATTGCCTATAATTTCCCTACGCCATGACATCAAAATGCTTTACATAAAATGAAACTTGCAAAATTGTTGATGTATTTTTTGTTTATGCATGACGTTCCTTGAAACCAGTGTTCTAATGATCACTGAATAGCCAGCCAAATGGTGAGCCGCCCCACCAAGGGAGCTCTGTCTATAGTTAGTATGATGAAGCGCCGATGGGGACGGTGAGAAACGAGCCAGTCGCCGAGCTGGCTATGCATACACCATGGAACAAGGCTGCGGCGGGGGTGGGGTGGGGTGGTGGTGAAGACAAGAAGTTCCATGGGAAACTCTGGTACCTCTTTGCCAGGTAATAGTTTCTGGATCAATATCCAGTCTTGCAAACTTGTTGATCTCTTCCTCCGTCAGTGAGGTAGGGTCGGTCTTTTCAATACCTAGTCTCTGAAGACGTGGGGAAATGAAGACACAAAGTAAAACGAAACAGGCAAAAACGTAATAGGAGGAGGCTTCAAAAAGTCTGTGAAACAAAACAAACAAAACAACGTAATAAAAAAATAATGGAAAATTTCACACATTAAAAAAAAGGAAAAATTTTAAACCTAGTAGATCTCAAAACAGGATCCCTTCTGGGAAATACAAGCCATCTTAAATTCTAAAGGGAAAACTGTGAGTCTTTTGGCTAAGCATGAGTAATTTCCTACTCACACATGCACAAAGGTTCACTTCCATGTCCTCACACAAGTACATGCTCACCTCCATCTGAGCGGCAAGCCTAAACGAGTGCCATGACCAAGACTACACACAAGCACGCCGAAAGGAATGCAATGTGCAAAGTCTTTTTTCCCAACCAAACCACTGAGAAGCTGATTTTTTTTTTTTTAATTGTGATGTGACTGTATCAGTCTTGTATTTGAATTTCAAGAAAGAAAAATGCGTTCTCAAACAGCTAGATATGCGGGTCAAAAAAAAAAAGAGGATTTTAACTGCCCACTCACTCCGAAGCCCATTCATTTCCTTCAGCCTCCCAAAGATGAGCACATTCTGCTGAGCTCTATAACAAGAGTGGCAAGCACGCTGCACCGCTGACATCACAGGACAGTTGCCCGTAAAACTAGACTCTGACGCCAGGCTCCCGCTCTGATCTCTCACTGGTCATCATCTTCAGCCGGGAGAGCGGCTGTCTGCGCAACCTCTAAATCATGCTCAACCTGGGCTGCCACAGCTGGGTCCATAACCACCTCTGGTGGGGCAGGAGCAGACGTGGCAACAAACTCCAAGTTAGGATCGCCAATGAGTTTTCCAGCAAGCCAAAGGAAGGGCTTTTCAAAGTGGTAGTGACTTTTGGCAGAAATATCACAGTACTGAGGGTTCTTCTTTCGGTGGAAGACAGTGGATTTTACCTATCTTTCCTATTCTTAATGTCCACTTTGTTGCCACACAGCACGATGGGCATGTTTTCAGATACTCGAACCAGATCCCTATGCCAGTTAGGCACATTCTTGTCAGTAATCCTTGAGGTTACGTTAAGGTGACCAGACGTCCCGCTTTTGGTGGGACACTCCCAATTTTTAACAATTTTTCCCGTGTCCCGTGGTCCCGATTTTTTGAAAGAATGCACGACAAGCTAGCATACAGTATATGGTTTTCAGGTGCCATGTGGTTATTTCACCAGTTTTTATCAATGGTGTCCCGCTTTACCAATGTTAAAATCTGGTCACCTTAGGGTATGTCGAACATTATAATGGCACACTGGGCTTGAATACAATAGCCATCTCCCAGTCCTCCAAATTTTTCTTGACCAGCTGTATCCCACACGTTGAATTTCAGAGGTCCTCTGTTATTATGGACCACAGGGCATGGATCTCAATGCCTGAGGTAGCTACATATTTCTCAAATTCACCAGTCAGGTGACGTTTCACAAATGTTGCTTTTCCAGTACCACCATCACCGACCAGTAGGAGCTTCCAGAAGTGTCTCTGGGCCGCGTCTGACTGGAGAAGCTGATTTCAAATGGACTTTCGTTGCTGCTGCACTATCACTCAGATGGCTCTAACGCATCGTGATCGTAAAGGACAGAGTAGACTGCCACGTTCCCAGGCTGTTGTCTTTACAGCAACAGATTGCTCGCTTCATGTTTCTCCTGTGGAGCACCTGGTGGGTGGGTTTGAACTAGGGGCCTTTCGACTAGCAGCTGAATACTTGACCACTGAGCCACCAGGGTTCCTCCAATGAAATCTTCAGAATGATAAAAATATATTAAAAAGAAATTTCAAAAAAGAGCTCTCAATCATGTTCACGTTAAGTTTTCTTTAACACTGTACTTTTGTTGCCTTTTTTCTCTTCTCAAAGGCAGAGATAAACCTTTTTTCCCTCCTCACAGAATTTGGAAACACTGCCTTGTTTGTGCCGCATAATGCCTTTGAGATCCATCCAAGTGGTTGGAGGATCGATACTTCTTTTTGTTGACAAGTTGCCTTCCATTGAATGCTTGCCCACGGGGTGTTTGCATATCCGTTCACCCACTGAAGGACACATGCATGGCTTCCAGATGTTGAGATGGTTAATAGAGCTGCTGTAACACACTGTGCAAGTTTTTAGATGAACATTCAGTTTTCCTTTCTCAGAGTGAGTCCTCTGAAACTATACACTAGGAGACTTAAAAAAGTTCATAGGAAAATAGGATGAAAAGTTAATGGATTTTTCAATGAAGTGTTTGAAACTCCCTCATATGGTATACAATGAATAGTTGTATATTTGTTATAAAAAGTCAAATAAACCACAGAAGAAACGGCTTCTTCTTTCATTATGTGACACACATGCATCTGGTACTTTGGCGATGCAGGGCCAAGCAGGTATGATGAACACCATTTTACAGACGAGTGAACTGACAGGCCAGCTCAGTGAGTGATTTGTTTAAAGGTCCCCAAAGCAGCCTGCTACCATCCAGGATCCTCCCATCAGTGCCACAGGGGCCGGTTTTCTTCTCAGCCTCAGCCAGGTTATCAGTACTTTACACCTTCTGCTCACTCATCAACGAGCTGATCGGCCAACATTTCACATTTAGGACAATAGCAAAAAGTCTACTTTCCTGACTACTTTGCGCATTAAAAACATGAAGGTCCGAGGTGGGAGTGATGCAGGCTATTGGTCAACTCGGCTGGGCCGTGAGTCCCAGTGGTCGGGCAGCTATGTAGTATTGAAATTGGTAATTCTGTCGTCTCTGGTGCTCACTTCCCACTTTCACACAGTAGCCTGGTCTTCAGAACATAACCAAGTGTGGAGAAGGTATATTTCTTCTAGGATCAGCCACTTATTTATGGGCAAACGAGAAATCGTCTCGGCCACCAATCCTTGCTGTGCATATTATGATTTTAGTAAGACTCTGGCTATTGATGTAACTTGCTGAAAAACAGGTTAATCTAAAGGGATTTGTTTTCCTGTCGGTCAATTACCAAATCTGACACAATATCCACATTCAAGAGGGAAAACACTTACTCGTAGCCTTCGGATTTGGATGTCAGAGAACTTCCTCACTCCATTAACTGATGGTACCAGGCGATTAAAGAGAGCCTTAAATAGGAGAGAGAGAGAGGTCTTACATGAGAGGAGCCCCAATGCCTTGCTACCTATGTCATCAGCACCCCAAGGCCCAGCACTCATTTAGGAACCCCCTCGAGTGTGTTTCTGGGGGTCCGGGGGCCCCTACCTTGTCTGTCTGTGTCAGTTCATGGAACATCCGAGCATCGATGGCTGCAGCAACCAGGTTGTTAGCTGCAGTGATAGCGTGGATGTCACCCGTGAGATGGAGATTGAACTACAAAGGAACAGAAATCACATCCGTCTCTGGAATTCTCCTCATCTTTTCAGCCTTCATTACAGCATGAATGGCAGCCAAACCAGCCCCCCATGACAAAGCTGTGGGTGTGTTCAAGGCTGTCCAGTGAGGGGCACACACGGAATCCGGAGAGCTCCGGAAAATACAAACCACTGAGCGACTGTCCTCGGCTGGAACTCCTCCCAACTTAGAATGTGTGGTCTTCCAGACACTGCAAACCCCACACCCCCTGGGTCACCAGCAACACTGAGCCACTGGGGATGCACTCACTGTCCTTCAAGCTTCTTCTGCTTGGCTTCCGTTTCTGAGGCGACTGCTCTGCATCCCTGGGATCTTGCTTCTTCCCTACCTCATGCTTCATTTGATCACTTAGCTTAAAACTGATTCCCTCTAAAAGCCACCCTCTGAAATCCTTGGCATGCCAAAGAACCAAGCTGTCCCATAGGCCAACATATTAAGATGCTTCTTTAAACGTTGTTCCCTTGTTCTAAAAAAAACACAACTGAATACAAAACTATAATAAAGGAAATGAAGCTATCAACCCCCAGAATACCGTACCTCTTCCATAGGAATAACCTGTGAGTAGCCTCCTCCTGCAGCACCACCTAGAGGACAGGTCAAGGACTCCTGTTAGCATGCTTCTCCCAGACTCGAAGATCAATGAAAACCAAATTGGTTTTCTGATTTGTAAGCTACTATGCATGCTAAAGCCTATTTTTTAATTTACTTCTTACAAGCATTTAGACAGATTGGAACAGTCATTTTCTAGTTTTCTTTAGTCAAGCTGAACTACTTGTTTGGCCTGTACAATCTCTCAACTGAAATGAGTCAAAATGACAAACAATGAGCTTTAGAAAGGGAGAATGGGTAGGAAGGAGGGAACCGATTACATGGAACTGTGTGTGACCTCCTCCCTGGGGGACAGACAACCGAAAAGTGGATGAAAGGAGACTGTCGGACAGGGCAAGATATGACAAAATACCCATTTATAAACTATCAGGGGCTCATGCGGGAGGGGGGAGAGGGGAGGGAGGGGAAAAATGAGGACCTAATGTCGGGGGTTTCAATGGAGAGAAAATGTTTTGAGAAACGATGTACAAATGCGCTTTACACAATTGATGTGTGTATGGATTGGGATAACAGTTGTATGAGCCCCTAATAAAATGTTTCAAAATAAATAAATAAATAAAAATGCCCCAACTTAAAAAAAAAAAAAGAAACTGGTTCCATCAGTAATTCCTAACACTGGTTAAAGGGCTCAGACTACAGTTACATATGCTACTCTGGCATTTAAAACACACACACCCCCACCACCACCACCCCCGCCAGAAACTGCAATTCCTGCCAAACAGGCCATGTTAGCTAGCTTAAACGCTAGATTACTGTTGGCTCATTTGTAGTAAGATTCAAAGGCCCACAGAAACAGTCAAGGCTAACAGTGAGATCAAGGTCAGCTTTGAGGATGGGGTTTTTGGCTTCTGTAAGGCACAGACCACCCAAGGGTAATTCACAACAAGAGGAAAAGAAGAATGTGGGGTTCCAAAAAAGAACAAGAAAAAAAGGCTCATTCTGAAGTCGAGGGGGGACAGTTAACCTAAGTTCAGAAGCAGAACTGAGTCAGCACCTTTGTAAAATGCAGTAAGGGGTGGGCAGAAGTAGTGGTACTGGGATGAACATTCACAGTCATGGCTAGAATTAGCAGAATATTCGACTATCCTGACACCCTGCAGCAAATGCGAACAGCAGCTTTTAAAAAGCCCGCCAGTGAGTTCATAAATACCTAAATTAGGAGTTTCAGAAGGACAAGTATGATTACGGCTGTGAGGTTTCATATAATCAGGAGAGGAAACATGGTGTTGACATAGTTTTAGAATGTGTCATAGTTAGCTTTAGCACCTTCGAAGCACAGATGTGAGGACCCATTCTGACATCTAATAACGGAGTCTGACCAACTGCAGTCTCATATGACACTGTGGCAAAATGGTAATAGCAGCTCCCTCATATCAGATGATTCGATATAATAATGTGAACAAATGGCTTACTACAAAAGCTGCCGTGAAGTGTAGTCACGAAGGACAAACTTTTCTTGTCTCCATCTATGTGGGTTGGTCTTTGTCTCTACAGATCACGAGAATGATCAGTAGCTATGACTATCCTTACTGCTAGCGTGACAGCTGACCACATGAAGGTCAACAGAAGCATTCCCAGCTATGCATTACCCTTCCAGGGGACCCCCAGTCACCGTCTAGTGGAGACAGCAGGACTGGGATGACTGGATGAAAGCCTTCCCCAAGGGCCAGACATCAGAGACGTGTGAGGAGGGCATTCTCCTAGCTAAATGAGGTCAAGACCCTATTAAGCATTCCTGGGATGAGTGAGCCTGGGAGAATCAACCATCCCATCCCTCCTCTTGCCCACAAATACCTTTTATTCCAAAGGTTGGGCCCTGGGAAGGCTGTCGCACACAGGCGAACACATTCTGGTGCAGGTGGGCACCAAGGGCTTGCACCAGCCCAATGGTGGTTGTGCTTTTCCCTTCTCCCAGGGGCGTTGGTGTTATTCTTCAACATGAAAACACAAAAGGCTTGTTTATAGAATCAGGTTGATGTGATTCACTAAGTCCGACCTACATCTCCTACAGAACCATTCTTCATTGCAATCAGCACTGCCTAAAGTGGGTGGTGCCATCCCCTGGGAGGTGCTGGTTCAATCCGAGGGCACTGCAAAGACAGAGGCCTCCACTTTATTCTGGACTAGGGGCGAGAGCACCAAAGGGGCCAAACGGCAAAGGGAAAGAATCTATGAGAAGGAAGACAACTTGCAGGAGTCTTTCCCAAGACTTCGCAGCTCTAATTTCCCCAAACTTGCAAGGAAAAGGTTGCTATACTTCGGTTTGCTCTCCGTCTGCAACAAATACAATTCCCCTTGTAGAGAGGCACTGCGACTGTGACTTTAATTTCTCAGCTGACTCCCTTAAAAACTAGGCCAGCAATAAAACGGATTGTTCAATGGATCGAGTAAATTAACATATTTGGGATCTCAAAAAAAAAGGCAATTCCGTCTGAAGACCAAACTTTAAGACTCACCCCTTCCATCACCTAGCTGGATAACCTTCACCAATGTTCTCACCGTTGAAAAACTGTCACTCTTGCCTATTTCCTAGGGCTGCGGTGAGGCTCAAGGGAGATACACCGTATGAGAGGGTGTGAAAATTCAAGGGACCTTTCACAAACTGTGCTAAGTGTAAATGCTTCCTGGATTGGAAAACTATGGAGAGTCCATCAGGGAGGGAATAAAAACACACCCAGTCACCACCACGTATTTTCCATCAGGCTGGTGCCTCAGCCGGTTGAGCGCGGAAAGCAGAACTTTGGCCTTTGTCTCACCGTACAACTCCACCTCTTCAGACAGCAGACCAATTTCCCGAGCCAGGTTACCAATGGGCTTCGGTTTGCAAGACCGGGATATGTCGATGTCACTGAGAAAAGACACAGAGAAAGTTTGCATCGATCTTCGCTCGCCGAATTTCGTGAGCCCTCACACTGGGAATGACCTGGTGGCACAATGATGACGATACAAGGTCGGTGGTTCCAATCTGTGCCCGGGGATCTGTGGAAAAACAGACCGGGAGACCGACTTCTGTAAACAGGACAGCCCTGAGGATTCTAAGTGGCATTCTATCCCGTGGAAAGGACTTCACAAGGAGTTGAAAGTGACTTCATCACACCCACCACCACCACGGCCCAACCACTGGTAGGGGCTTCAAAGGGAGCACACACATCACCACAGTATCAGCCTGTAAAATTCTACTCTTACCTTGGGACAGGCGTCTTGAGCTTAAGGTGGTTATACTGAATCACCCACTTTCCTGGCTTGAATTTTTCCAGGAAGCGTTTTGCACTCTCCACTGTGCTCTGAATATGAAAGGACACGAAGGAAACATTGAAGGAGTGAATCATTTTCATCTCCACTTCCATTCCCAGCCCCTCGGCACTCCAAGTGAAGCACAAAACTCACTGCTTCGTGGTCTACCTGTCAACCTGCCTTCCATACCAGGTAAGAGCCTGTGGGCACTGGAAAGGCTTGGGGGCTGTTTTGGGAAAAGCGCATGGCAAAGCAGACCCAGCAAAGGTCAAGGTGCTTGCTGTTTGCTCTGGAGGAAGCTATTGTGCTCCAAAGTCACCTAGAATACTGCCGGCTCACCCCCCCGCCCCCGGCCCCCCCCACCATGAATTCGACCCCTTTCTGTTTTATTCTCCTGCCCTCTGTTTACTTTTTCCCTTTTAACAGAGTCCAACCCTTATCTGGCATCTGAAATTTCCACTCGGGAGAAAAGCCCTCACTTGGATTATGAATTGTACTGAGCTTTTTTTTTCTGAATTGTACTAGCTGCTTCTTGCAGTGGTCACAAGTACCTGCATGAGCATTGCCACCGTCATGGGCCCAACACCACCGGGAACCGGGGTGATGAAGGCGGCTCTCTCTTTGGCCTCGTTGTATGCCACGTCACCCACAACCTTCTTCCCATTCGGTTTTGTGTCATCTGGTTAAGGGAGGAAAAGCAAAGCCAGGTCTCAGAACGGCTATCCTGGTGTTTGTTTCTGAGGTGATGGTACAGAAGCCAAGGGGAACTAACTAGGTCGAGTGACTGCAGTTGTCTGTACAGCTATAGGATGACAGGTGTTTGCTATTGACTACCTAGGAAGAACATGCTTTCCCTGCAAAAGACCCAAGGTGCCTGGTTTTTGGGTTTTTTTTTTTGTTCCTCAGAACCAGAGGAGAACCCCTTTGTAGTCCATCAGGTAGGAGACAAAATACCAACTGTTTCTTAAAATCAGCTCCCCATCTACACTGAGCTCCTTTTAAAATGCTAATTTGTGAGGTCCACAGAGAAAATGTCTCTGGGTGCATACAGCTCCCGCTGTCACAGCTGCCAGACACCGTTTCTACAGCAACTGTCAGCATTTTCTAAGCTTCCCTCTCAGCTAGAGGAACAATTCAACATCCAATTCCAAAGACGAGCAGCTACTTAACTGTATGCTAAAGGCAAAGAATATAATTACACTTCCCTTAAAAGGCTACAAGAACAACTATCAAATCCACCAGCACCCAAGAGCTATTCAAGAGAACAAAACCCAATGATACATCACTTCTGGGAGGGGCTGGGGGGGCCAGGGCGAGACCTAGCGTGCTGAGGCCCGAGAGGCATTCTCAGGTGGAACCTCAGCCAGATCGTCACTTCTCTGTGACCAGGAAGTAGCCATGAAACCAAGCTCTAGGACCAGCTGGTCCATAACCACCACCACGGGGCGGGGGGGCATAGTTATCTGAAGTCCAAAGCTGCAGAGGATTAACACTTCTAATGTATTTGGCTGTGGACCCTTTAGAAGGTTGGCGGTGCACACAGAGGTGCCATGGAACAGAAGGTCTGGCAATCTAATTTTAAATCTCAGCCATTGAAAACTCTACAGAGCACAGGTGTATTCTAGCACAAGTAGGATCACCCTGAGTCAGGGTCAACTTTCTGGGGGTTTTGTTTTAATTTCACAAGATACTCAAGATGCAAGTAAGAAAATGTGCACACACTCAAAATTTGAGATGCTCTCCAAACATAAGGCGTTCTTTTTTATCTGTCCTTGTATAACCATAAGGAGTCAGTAAACACCACTCCTTGGGGTAGTTTTAGGGTTTCTAGAAGATTACTGAGCAGCAGGCCAGAGCAAAACATCACCTTTCATAACCCTTAAAGTCAAGTTTCAAAATACCAAGCAAGGAACTTGTACGCCCTGAAATTAGGTTAAAATGAACCCCACCCACCCCAATGATTGTCAGCCATTTTTACTTTTTGCCGCAAAGCAACAGCTGCAGACCCAAAAGCTGCACCTGATGAGCTCATGTGCTCGTTAACAATCTCTTATAAACACTAGCAGGGCAGGCTTGAGTGTCACTGATGTACAGTGCTTCAGGGATCAGGTAATGTGGCCAGTGGAAAAAATGAGCATTACTCAACCAAAGTACATGGTTTCAGTAATGAACCAACATTTTGCTTATCCATGCTTGGCCTCAGGATTTCCCAAAGGGCAAGGGCATAAATAAACTTGAGAATGGCAGAGTCTTGACTCCCTGCATTTCATTTGGGTACCCAGTGTACCAGCCACTGAACTGGGCTGGGGTAAAGAATCTGCTCCCTCTTTTTACAGCTCTTCCATAAGCACTTCAATGTTCACCTACCCTTTCTCAAACCATGGTTATTAGTAAGCCAAGCAGGAAGATCAGATTTACATGTTTCTCTGACCAAAGCTTTCTGTTTTGCAATTGAACCTCAAGAAAAGATTAATTTGTTGGTCTTTCCCTGAATGAAGTGCAACAGGTGAAGAAAATCAAAGATACTTGGAAACAATTAGCTCGAAGGCTTATGACCTCTGAAGCCTCAGCCTGAGACCTGAAGAACTAGATGGTGCCCAACTACCACTGCTGACTTCTCCGAAAGACATCATTTGACAGGGTCCTGGATAGAGTGGAGAGACATGTGAAACAGAACTCAAAATTATAAAACAGAGAAGACTTTCTGGTCGGAGAGAGATCATGGCCTGGGACTTCAGGCCTGAAACTGAAAACACTCCTGTGACTCAACTTTCAGCCAAATGGCAGACAGGCCTACAAGGTAAGGAATTCCACCTTCTTTCAAACTGCTTTTAACTGCTGCTAGCAGTTAGCCCCCTTCTCCTCTTCCCTCTTCTGCCTCTCCCAACAAGACCTTGACTCTTCTGAGGTGTCTCCAATCCTGTGTGCCCAACTAGTAAGAACTGTATACTATCTTGTAAGACCCTCAATTAGCACCTACAGCTGTGCTGTTCTTCCAACCCGTTACCCTGCCAACCTGATAAGAATGTAATGGCTAGACTATCCCTCCCCTTGAGTCAGCCTCCTATTTTGAACTATTAAAAGTTTAGAATGTCTTTGTTCAGAATCGAAGTTTCCACCCCATTAATAAAGGCTTTAATTATTAGTATAGTGGTATGCTTGGTCTCGCCCATTTACAACAGTGAACACATCACCAGGGTGGTGTGCACTTCTTGGAACTATCAACCATGCAAGCTCACAAGGGCAGCATTTGCCCAGGGATGAAGCTCAGGTGGCAGGAATGGACAGGAAATAAGGGCAAACAGAAACAGTAAGTATAGGAACATGAGAGGGCTGTTACACTGTGGCGATGGCAATCACTCTCACAAACATACTGTGTCTGAGTTCTTGAATGGAAACCCATTTGCTCTGTAATGTTTTACCCAAATCACAATTAAAAAAAATTTCTTGGGGGGGAAAATACATGCATATCTTCACTCATTCTTAATCTAGCAAGTGACATGTTATCCCTGAGTACACCATAATAAACTAAATCAATTAGTAACCACACACTGGCCATAGATGTGGGACGTGGCGTTTCTAAAGAGAACACATTTTAGGGTTTCTACCCTTGTCGTATAGTAGGTGACACATTGGGTTACTAACTGCAAAGTCAGTAGTTCAAAACCACCAGCCACATGAGGCTTTACATTCCTGTAGAGTTACAGTCTTGAAAACTCACAGGGGCAGTTCTACCCTGTCTAATAGGATTACTGAGTTGGAATGGACTTGATCATTCATGGTTTTGCCACCAGGGGGACAATAAAAGGAGCCCTTGTGGTGCTGTTGGATCTAAAATTAGATCGCCAATCCCAAGGTCCATGGTTCAAAGCCATCAGCAGCTCCCCAATGGAGAAAGATGAGGCTGCTTCCATAAAGATCTTCAACCTTGGAAACTCTGGGTCAAAAATGACTTGGTGGCAGTGGGTTGGGTGGCGAACAGTAAAGGCCAGCCTTGTCATTAAGCATTTGCCTATATGCCCAGAATCAGTAAAGACAGAGTGCTTTTCTGTTATACCCATTTTACCATCTATGGGCAGCATCAACGTGAATAGGAGGGTTAGGTTTAGCTCAACATTTCATATCCATCACGAAGATGCAAAATCCTTCTTCCACCTCGCATATCTAATCCAGAGAATGGCAGGAGCCAAAAAGCAAAAGCCTGGGAGATAAGAGGTTTTCTGCAACAAGAGCCTGGATGCCCGACAGCAAGCACTCAAAGCATGGAGTTGTAGGGGAGCCGGCTCGAGATCCCGCCTGGTAGGTAATGACACTACGGAATAAAAGAGCGATCAATTAGGAGCTCCTGTCTTAAAAGCCTGATGGGGAGCGTGGGAAGGGGGTTAAAAACAGGGAAGACTTGACAGTGACTAATGTTCCTGGCAGCTTAATGCCTGCATTTCAAACCTGAGATGGGAGGAGAGAATAAAAAGATTATTCTCGCCATAGCTCCCTTCAACAATTTGGCAAATATGAGTGCTAGTAATTACAGGCACCAAGTCGGACCCTGCACTGCCAAAGACTCCCTGGATGGCGCCGCGAGGGGATGAGTGCCTGCTTACTGGATGAAAGGTGCCGCTCAGGGCACCCGGGGAGAAAGGCCTGGCAATCTGCTTGCCAGAGGCGACGACCCTGAAAACCCCAAGGAGCATCGACTAATTCACGCTGAAACCCAAGGGGGCGCCAGGGCTCAGAACAGGCTGGGCAGCACTGGCTGGGTGTGACTACTAGAGGAGAGCGCAGGGAGGGAGGGGTGAGATCAACCCTTGCAGAGGCAGAACCCAGCCAGGGTTGGGAAGGAGGACCGACGTTTCCACAGGTAGGACGTGGCTGACGGTGAAGGCCAGTGAGTCAGAAGCAGTCAGGGTCTGGCATGGTGCTCCCTCCAGAGAAACAGGTGCTTGGTGAAAAGCCATCACTTGCCGGAGTCTCCTTCGTTTTTGGAATCAATGGCGACAGGCCTCCCCCACTACCACCGCAGGCAGGGAAACGGGGCAGACAGTACAAGAACTTCACACAGATCAGGCAGCGCTCATGAGGTGAGAGAGGAAAGTGGCCGCAGATGTGCAGGGCAACTACAGAGGGGAGCTAAGGGACTGGGCATGTCGCAGTGGGGAGCGGGGGGTGGGGTGGGGGGTGTGCTCCTAGGTCCAAGTCACCAAGCGCACGCATGCAGATGGGTCTGGGCTGGGAGTCTGCTGGCGCACAGGGACCAGCAGGAGGGCAGAGGAGGAGGGAAACGTATCCTCTGCTTGACCAAGTGGAGGGCAGCACAGAGGAAGACCCTCGACAAGATGACTGACAAGGTGGCTTCCACAATGGCCTCACACACAACAACGGTGCGCACGGCGAGGGCCAGGCAGCGTTTCCTTCTGTGGTACACAGGGTCACTAGGAATCGGAAGCCACTTAATGGCACCTAATAACAGCAGCCTGTTAAAAAAAAAGCCCCCCTAGAAAAATGTGAGCAAAACTCAAAATAGAAAGAGAGAGAGAGAGAGATCAGGTTTACTGGTCACAGAGACTGGTGATACCTCCTAAGACTCA